GCTCATGCGTCGTCATGGCCATGGGGTCATCCTGGGGATGGGGACAGTGTGAGGGGACAAGAGGGACACCTTGGGGGGGATACTGGGGACACACTAGGGGTCACACTGGGGACACGTGTGGGACATGCAGGGGACACCACGGGGGGGACACATTGCAGGGACACTTTGCGGACATGGGGACACATTGAGGAGGTGTTGGGGACACACTGAGGTAATGCTGAAGACACGTTGGGGGGATGTCTTGGGCACGTGTTTGGAACACACTGGGGACACCAGGAGGGGACACACCGGAGGGACTCATTTGGGATATGTTGGGGACATGCAGGGAACAGCATGGGGGACACACTGGGGACACCATGGGTACATGTAGGGGACATGTAGGGGACACATTTGGGCCAGCCCACTGCAGCCACACAGGTGGCATGGGGGTCTCACCCTTCCAATGTCCCTGTCCCCCTGCCCCACATCCCCGGCCCCCATGTCCACCTCATGTCCCCTGCCGTGTGTCCCCACTCACCAGGGGAACAAGTGTCACCCGGTAGCCGTCGGGAGGGGGGGGAGGGCCGGGGCCAGGTGACACGCAGGGATGTCGAGGTGCGGGTGGCCAACCGTGGTGTCACTGCGGGCACCTCTGCAGGGACAGCACGGGGACACCATGAGGACACCAGGGGGACATCACAGGGACATCTATGGGATGGGGGCGCCCTGGGGACACCCTGGGACACCTTGGGGATACCATGGGGACACCAGGGGGACACCACAGGATGGGGACACCAGGGATGGGGCACTGGAGGGTCCTGGGAGGGGCAGGGGGCACCCTTGGGGACACACTGAGGGGGCACAAGAACCCCCCATGGACGGGGAAAGAAGTGAGGGAGCACTGGGGATGCTGGGATGGGGGCACTGGGCTGACATTGGGGGGCATTGGGACCCACTGATGTTGCAGTTGACCACCCCCCCAAGCCGGGGGGACAGCCGGGGATGTTGGAGTCAGGTCACTGGGGAGCACTGGGGGCTCTGGGAGCACTAGGGGGCAGCTCTGGGAGCACTGAGGGGGCACTAGGGGCCACTGGGAGCACTGGGGGGGGGCTCTGGGAGCACTGGCAGCACTGGGAGCACTGGGAGGGGGCTCTGGGAGCAGTGGGGGGGTTCTGAGAGCACTGGGATGGGGGCGCTGGGAGCACTGGGAGCACTGGGGGGCAGCTCTGGGAGCGCTGGGGGGCTCTGGGAGCACGGGGGAGACTCTGGGAGCACTGTGCGGGCTCTGGGGACGCACCGATGTCGCAGTGGACGCCCCCCCAGCCGGGGGCGCAGGCGGGGGTGCCGCAGTCGGGGCCGCTGAAGCCCGGGAAGCAGCGGCACCGGCCCCGCTCGCACCGGCCCTGGTCGCTGCAGCCCCGCGGGCACGGCGGGGGCGGGGCGGGGGGCGGAGCCTCGGCCGTGGGGGCGGGACAGGCGCAGCCTCCCCCGGCGGGGGGGGCACAGAGCTGAACCGACTGGCCTGGGGAACACGGGGGGACACGAGGTCATGACCCCGCGACTCCTCAGAGACCCCCCAGTGACCCCTCGTGATTCCCCCAATGAACCCTCAGGATCCCCAGGACCCCCCCGTGAGTCCCCCAATGACCTCCCGTGACCCCCCCGTGACCCCCTGTGACTCCCTCAATGATCCCTGTGACCCTCTAAAGACCCCCCTGGGACCCCCCAATGAACCCCCTGTGACCCCCCAAAGACCCCGGTGACCCTCCCCCGGCATCCCCAATGACCCCCTGTGACCCCCAAATGACCCCCCCGGGACTCCCCAGTGACCCCCCGAGACCCCCCAATGACCCCAGTGTTTCCCCCATGTCCCTCCAATGATCCTTCAGTGACCTCCCAGTGATCCCCAATGTCCCAAATGACCCTCGATGGCCCCCCCTGTACCCTGTTACCTGTCCCGGCCTGGGGTCCCCCCGTGTCCCCACAGTGTCCCCTCAGTGCCCGCACGTGTCCCTCGAGCTCCCGCAGCCGCGCCAGCACAGCCGCCAGCGCCGCCGCGCACGACTCGGGGGGAGCCTCGGGGGGGGCCACCGGAGGGGCCACCGGAGGGGACACCGGGGGGGCCATCGGAGGGGCCACCGGGGGGGTGCCCGCCCCCCCCCCGCAGCGCCAGCGCCAGAAGCAGCAGCCGCAGCTCCAGGGTCACCGGCATCGTCCTGGGGGGACACAGGGGGGACATAGGGGGGACATAATGGGGCCATGGGGGGCCATGGGGTGGGAAACACCAGGGAGGACAACCGGGAGAACCGGGGGACACCCACGGGGGGAGATGGGGACACACTGGGGACACTGGGGACACTTGGGGAGAAGTGGGGACATGGGGGGGACATGGGGGTACACCCGGGGGGGACAGGGGCATCCGTGGGGACACAGGGACACTCACGGGGGGACATGGGGACACTAGAGGGACACCCAGAGGGACACAGGGGACACGGGTGGGGGGGACACTGTGGGGAAACAAGGGGATACGAAGACACTGGGGTGAAACCTAGGGACGTAAGGGGACACCTGGGGAGGACCCACAGGGGACAAAGGGACGCCACAGGGACACCCAGGGGACACCCATGGGGGGACATGACAGGGGGACATGGGGCGGGGGGACACTGGAGGACACCTGGGGGACACCCATTGGGACACCACAGGGGAATGAGGGCGAGTGTGGGGGCACTGGAGGGACACAGGGGGTCACATAGTGGGGACAGGGACATCCATGGGGCAGCCACAGGGGCACCCAGGGGACACAGGCAGACGAGGACATTTGGGGGACACCCGGGGACACCCACAGTGGGGGGGCCATGGACATCGTGGGGTGACACGGGAAACACCCAGGGCACACAGGGACACGGCAGGGGGATGCAGGGGACACTCCTGGGACACCTAGACATCAGTAAGGGACACAGGGACAGCTGTGGGGACACCCAAGGGACACAGGGACACCCATGGAGGGACACAGGGACACCCATGGGGGATGCAGGGGGCCCCCCCAGGGACATTCACAGGGACACATGGACACCAGAAGGGGACACCCAGGGGACACAGGGACACCTGGGGAACCATCACAAGGGGACACGGACATCGTGGGGGGGACACCCCTAGGGACAGCGAGGGGGACACAGAGACAGCTGTTGGGACGTGGGGGACTCAGGGAGACCTGTGGGGGGACATCCACCCAGGGACATCCACCTAGGGACATCCAGGGACACCCACAGGGACACAGAAACACATGGACACCTCAACCCACAGCACCTCCCAGTAAACCCAGTTACTGCCAGTAACCCCCCTAGTGACCCCCAATAACACCAAGTAAACCCCAGTGACCCCTCAGTGACCTCCTAGTAACACCCAGTAACCCCCCAGCAAGCCCAGTCACACCAGTGACACCACTAACACCAGTAACCCCCAGTCACAACAGCACCTCCAGCCATTGCCAGCAGTCATCCCTGTCACACCAGTGACACCAGTAACAGCAGTAGCTCAAGTAACTGGTAATCTCAGTAATCCCAGTAAAACACACCAGTAACCACAACAACCTGTTACACATTCCAGTAATAACAGTAACACCTCCCAGTAACTCCAGTAACACCTCCAGTAAGACCAGTAATACATCCCAGTAACACCTGTGCTTCTGAGCATCAGTAGCAATCCCGATAACACATCCCAGTAACACCAGTAACACCAGCAGCCTCTCCCAGTAACGCCAGTTATACATCCCAGTAACATCAGTAACTGCTTCGAGTAACACCAGTTGCCCCAGCAAGACCAGTTACCCCATTCCCTCCATTAACCCCTCCCAGTAACCCCAGTCCCCTCACAATCCCCCCAGTCCTCCAGAATCCCCCCCTGTGCCCCCCCAGATCCCCATTCCTCCTCACGGCCCCCCAGTGCCCCCCAGTTCCCCTAGTCCCTCCCAGTGTTTCCCAGTGCACCCAGTCGCTCCCAGTCCCTGCCAGCGACCCCCTATGTCCCCTCAGTTTCCCCAGTACCTCCCAGTTCCTCCCCATTCCTCCCAGTTCTCTCCAGTCCCTGCCAGTTCCCCCAGTGCCCCCCAGTCGCTCCCAGTTCCCCCAGTCTCTCCCTGTCCCTCCCAGTCCCCCCTAGTCGCTGCCAGTCCCTCCCCAGTGCCTCCAGTGCCCCTCACTGCCCCTAATTCCCCCAGTCTCCCCCAGTTCCCCCTGTTGCTCCCCGTCCCTCCAAGTCCCTCGCAGTCCCTTCCAGATCCCCCCAGTCTCTCCCAGTCCCCCCGGTCTCTCCCAGTGCCCCCAGCACCTCCGGCTGGTCCCGCTGGGTTCTCGCTCTGGGCCGGGCGGGGTCGCGGGGGGGGCGGGGCCGGGGGCGGGGCCGGGGCCACACCTGCCCCGCCCCTCCCAGGGGAGCCGCCCCCGCCCGTGTTTGGGGCGTCTCCATGGAAACCAAACAGTTGCTGGGGGGGCTTGTCCTCCCAGTGATCCCAGTAACCCCAGTAACGTGTCTCAGGCTGACCCACAGCTCCCAGGAACCCCAGTATAGTCAGTCCCAGTGCTCCCAGTAATACCAGTGACACCAATAACACAGCACAGCCCAACCCAGTGCTCCCAGTATTGCAGGACAGCCCATCCCAGTTCTCCCAGTAACACCAGTAACAAAGCCCAGTCAATCCCAGTGCTCCCAACAGCAGCACTGGGACACCTGCCCCACAGCCCCCAGCGCTCCCAGTAACTCGGCACAGGCTGACCCATGTCCCCCAGTAACACCAGTATGGCCCATTCCAATGGCACCAGTGATGCGGAACAGCCCATCCCCGTGCTCCCAGTAACCCCAGTATAGTCTGTCCCAGTGATCCCAGAAACATGAGTAACCCCAGTATGGGCTGTCCTAGCGCTCCCAGTAACACAGCACAACCTGTCCCAGTGCTCCCAGTAACACCAGTAACCCCAGTGCCACCTGCCCCACAGCTCCCAGTGCTCCCAGTCAACCCAGTATAGTCTGTCCCAGTGCTCCCAGTGACACTAGCAATGTGGCACAGCCCATCCCAGCCCTCCCAGTAACACCAGTATGGCCCATCCCAGTGACACCAGTAACCCCAGTGACACCAGTAACCCCAGTGACACCAGTAACCTCAATGACACCAGTAACATTGGACAGCCATCCCAGTGCTCCCAGCAACCCCAGTATAGTCTGTCCCAGTGCTCTCAGAAACACCAGTAATCCCAGTATGGCCAGGCCTAGTCCTCCCAGTAACGCCAGTAAAGTTTGTGCTCCCAGTAACTCGGGTAATGTAGCACAGCCCACCCCAGTGCTTCCAGTGACCCCAATATAGTCTGTCCCAGTCCTGCAAGTAACACCAGTAATGCAGCACAGCCTGACCCACAGCCCCCAGTAACACCAGTGACATGGGACAGCCCATCCCAGTGCTCCCAGTAACCCCAGTATAGTCTGTCCCAATGCTCCCAGAAACAGCACTAACCCCAGTACAGCCTGGTGAAGTGCTCCCAATAACCCCAGTGCCACCTGCCCTACAGCTTCCAGTGCTCCCAGTCATCCCAGTGCTCCCAGTGACACCAGTAACGTGGCACAGCCCATGCCAGTCCTCCCAGTAACACCAGTATGGCCCATCCTAGTGCTCCCAGTAACACAGCACAGGTTCCCCCAGTGCTCCCAGTGCCCCGGCACGGCCCCTCCCAGTGCTCCCAGTACCCCCAGTCCGGGCGTGGCCGTGACTCACCGCCCCGGCAGCAACAACAACAGCGGGGAGGGTGCGGG